CTTATCATTACCCGTAGCTTTTCAATTTGTATACAATAAAGTTCATTTTGTGCTATATAGTTCTATGGGTTTTGGCAAATGCATTGTCTTATATCCTCCACCAAAATCATGATACAGAACAATTCTATCACCACAAAAATATTCCCTTGTGCTGCTCCTTTGTAGTCACTCTTCCCCTCCAGTCCTAACCCCTGGCAACCACTGATCTGTTCTCTGTCCGTGTAGTTTTACTTTTTTACCCCAAAATGTCATATAAGTAAAATTAAACAATCTGTATCCTTTTTAATCTTCTTTCACTTAGCAAAGTGCATCTGACGTTCATCCATATCGCTGCATCTGTCAATAATCGTTCTTTTTGTTGCTGTGTAGTATTGCATTGTATGGATGTAGTACATTTTTTTTATCCATTCCCCTGCTGAAAGATATTTGTTGTTTCCAGGTTTTGGTAATTATGTACAAAGCTGCTAAACAGATTTTTGTGTGAATATAGGTTTTCATTTATTTTAAGTAAATAATTAAGTGTGGAATTCTTGAGCCATATGGTAAATGTAGATTTTATAAGAAACTGCCAAACTGTTTTCCAAAGTGGCTGTACCGTTTTGCCTTCCCATGAATAATGTATGAAGTTCTAGTTGTCTGTACCCTTACCAGCACTTGGCATGACCAGCTTCTTTTTGTTCTTTGTTCAATTTTCATTTTCCTGATGACTAATGATGTTTAGCATTTTTTCTTGTGCTTATTTTCCATCTGTATATCTTCTTTTGAGAAGGGTCTTTTCATTGGCTAATTTTCTAATTGAGATTCTTGTTTTCTTATTGTTGAGGTTTAAAAGTTATTTGTGTATTCTAGATAGAAATTCTTTGTCACACATGGGATTTACAAATGTATTCTCACAGTTTGTGGTTTCTCTTTTCATTTTCTTAATGGTGTCTTCTGCAGAGAAAAAGTTTCAGTTTTCCTAATGTCCAATTTATCAACTTTTTCTTTTATAGATTGTGCTTTGGTGCCATATCCAGTTTTCTTTAAAAAAAAAAAAACAAATTTTCAGGAAGGAACAGAAAATAGATTGCTTGCCGCAAAAGAAAAAAGAAAAAGGAAAAAAAAAAAGAGGTGAATCTTACATATTAGGACCTAGAACTTTTAAATTTTGAATAAAATGAATTCTTCAACCAATATGTCCTAGTATATAATGCACAAGTTTTTCAGATATGGTTCTAAAGTACAGTTTTTCCCATGGCAAATATTTACTGATATAACAACTGAGAATTCAGCATTATAACATCCTGACAACCTGTACGATGTAAAAAAATTACCTTCTGGCTAAGATATTTATGTCGTGTCCATATAGTATAATGCACCATGTATAAAGATAGAATTTATCTCATAACATTGCATCAAAAATCTGGCACGATGTCAGCCACACAGTAGGTCTTAATAAATGCTGATTGAAGGAACAAATGAAAAGTAAAGGGAAAAATGTTTGGCCTATTTAAGGTCTTATGATTTCATACTATTCACCCCTAACTCCTGTTTTTAACCCTAACACTAACTGAGAAGCAGTATAACATAATGGACCCTGGTTAGACTGCCTGGGTTCAAATCCCACCCTTGCCACTTATCTGCTAATACTTAATTTCTCTGTGCCTTAGTGTCTGTCCTCATCTGTACAATGACGACTTCTGTTCCAGATGATGACTATGATGACAAGGCTTATTTCATAGCACTCCCATTCCTCTAGTTTGTTGTAAAATTTCAATCAGGTGATACATGTAAAGCACTAAGACAGGAGCCTGCCAGAACATTATAGTTAATATAATAGTTTTTATGACATGATTGTGTTACTAACATATTAAAAGTTACAGACTGTGGCCACCTATTTTTATAATAACAAATTTTTAAGCTCAAGCCTCTGGGAAGCTTGACTTGGAATACATTACAAGAAAGGCAACACAAGCTTGCTTTTTTCTTGAGCTGGTAGCTACCTTTCTACCTTTTTTTTTTTTTTTTGTCTGAATCACACCTCTGCTACTGTAATAATCATAATATTGCCAGTTCTTGTCTTTGGATCTTGCACACTTCAAGATCTATGGAGTATATTCAGAGTTCACCAATATCTAAGAATTCCTGCAGTGGGGAAAAAAATCTATAAAAACCAGAAGATGTTAAAGCAGGCAGATATCCCTGATTGTGTAATTCTCAGAGGATAACCACAGTGGTTCCCTTTAAAAACCGTTGTTGATGTCTTTTCCCACGCCTAATCCCATGGCTATTAAACTGTTTTGATTGAATTTCACAGAACATGGCAGGAGTCTAATGACTAGTTTTGTGCTATACTGAAGAAGTATAATAAAACAACAAGCCATATAAATACATTGAAGGTTTGCAGTGGTGAACTAGGGGAGAATAATGCTATATAATTTTCTCATTAAAATGTTACAAACTAATTAAGGCCCTAAAATAATGAATGTATACCACTTTTCTAATTCGTTTCACAAACTTAGCTCAGATACAGGATTACAATACCATACACCAGACAGCATATAAACTAACGCTCAGAATGTTTTTTATCCGTCAGATTTTGAGATCCAAACAGAAAACAGCTTGTAAAAGATTAGTTCAGTCTTTAGTAAAACCAGACAAATGTAAAAAATAAAATCTCCAAATGAGTATTAGACAGATACCAATTAGAAAAGTAGAATGGTGAGAGAATAAACACTGAGGGCACAATCACAATGTTTTTACTCAAGCCAAGTTGACGTCCATGGGAAATTTGCATACATAATAAAAAATGTTTTCACCTAAATTAATGATACGAGGTCCATGAACATACAGATTTCTACCGCAATATTTGCTTACATAGTATATATCTCACTAGTATTTTCTTAAGACTGATAGTGATGCCTTTTTGTGACTGAATGAATTCTAAAGAGGAATAAACCCTATTGCTATTTGTCTATCTTCTCCAAACTGATCAACTCATCACAACGACTCAGTGTGGCACCACCATTTTTCTAATCAACCTCAAATAATTATCAACACTTATCCTTAAAAGGAGTTTGAAGTATAAATAAAATGTATGATGAGATATTTTAAAACACAAGACGTAAACTTAAGCAAACATTTCAAAAATCCAAACGTCGCTTTATGTCATTGCCAAATTCTCAACACTTCATAACCATAATAGTGACATTTAGTTCAAGCTGGTATAAATAAAATGTATGATGAGATATTTTAAAACACAAGACGTAAACTTAAGCAAACATTTGAAAAATCCAAACGTCGCTTTATGTCATTGCCAAATTCTCAACACTTCATAACCATAATAGTGACATTTAGTTCAAGCTATATACTCAGAGTAATAAAAAATGAAGAATACAGACATTTGAAATCTATGTACTACATTTTCTTCTGTATTGAGATAAAAAAGAAACATGTTCTTATTCCATGAAATAAATATTACTTTATTGAATGTCTGCTTTACTTAGGAGGTCAAATCTTTAATTACATCATTAATAATTATGTTGACATTTATTGCTTGCAAGGAATGGTTTCTTTGGAAGCAATTTAAGAACATTAGCTATTTCTGATCATTTATCTTATTCTAAATGGCTTACTGATTAAAATAATAAGTTTTTAATCCTTTTAGGCAGTTAAACTAGCACTCGTTAGGTTATTTGCACATAAGCACTTCTTCCTGAGACACAACAAATGGAGGGAAATATCTGCTGAATAAATTTAAGGTTGTATAATGTCTTAAATGTCTTAAGTCTTTAACCCATTGTATCTCTTCTTTGGCCAGAGACAATGATGTATCTTATGTATTTCTGAATCCCTACTGACTATAACAGTACTTCACTCATAGTAAGTACTCAAAAAATGCTAATCAAATTGAAATGAGCATAACTGAGCTGAACAGGTGTTTTAGCGTCTAAGACATTTCTGGTATCCATAGGGCTAGCACAAATCGAGGAAATTTTAAAATGCCTAGAAATGTACCAACGTCAGTACATTTGATCGAGGTCCTACTACTATGAATATTGGTAAAAACCATGAGTTTAAAAGCAGACAGATCTGAGTTTAAATTTTAACCTGCCCTTCTAAATTGTGTGCCTCTGTGTGAGTTATTTCATCTCTAAGTATTGGCTTCCTCATCTAAATATGTGAATAATGACACCTACAAATACATCACAGGGGTTATGTGATGATTAAATGAGGTAAGATTAAACACATAGTAAGTGTTCGATATATGTTGGTGATAATGATGATGATGATAATGACGTGTACCAACTTCTATTAATGCCATTATATTTTGCATAGTTCATTGTAGATACAATCTAGTCTGTAAAAGGCTATTCTATACCAACTTCTATTAATGCCATTATATTTTGCATAGTTCATTGTAGATACAATCTAGTCTGTGAAAGGCTTTTCTAACATAGGAGAGCAGTAGGTAAGAGTTTAGAAAATAATGGCCATAGCAAAAGGCATTTGGGCAAAGCTTTGTGAGGCACCATCTGATTTGTCAGTGTGCTTGCTTTGGCAGCGAGTTTACCTGTCCGATGTTCTTATTTTCCTTGGGGTAATACTCCATTAGCATACATTTCCTCAGGGGCAGATGCTGACAAACGTTGCTGGATGGCAGGAGGGCCACGAGAAAAAGACAATTTTCCAACAGGGGCTCTCATTTAGGTAATCAAAAATGACCGAGGGTGCCAAAAGAGAAGAAAGCACACAAATCCACATTACCTATACCTCTCTTAAGATACAGGAGCAAACTTGCCCAGAGGCAGTCAGGGGAGGTATCTAGGCAGTGTTATGTGAGCATCCTTAAAAATGTCAACACTGGCCTTGACAGCCTGAACATCTGATGCATCACTCTGCTTACAGACCCGGCCTCATGTGCTTTTCCTATTCTAGTTTGTGGAGATCAGCCAAAGCTCAGGAAACCACATTTATTTTCTTTCCCTGTGAAATTTCACAAACTGTGAAAGCTTAATTACCAACCCGTTTTTTGTACATCCAGCCAAAGCTGAGCTGATTTACAAGATCTTTGCTGAGCATGCCAAACTCATCCTTGGACATCTGGGCACCATGGGGCACTTGCTTCTGACTCAAAAGTACTCGTACAGTGTCTACTACCAGGCTGTGACAGAAGTTCCTATAAGTTCATATACATAAAATGTCAGCAAAGTGGAAAGGGAAATCTGTCCCATTTCCTTCATTCATTGCTTTATCTAAAATCTCAAGCCTGTCAAAAATAATTCTGATCAACTCTTCCAAACAGAGATGTAGAAATGGAGGAAGAGTATGTGTAATAAATTTGCCCCAAATACAAAAAGCCACAGAGTTAGAGAAAGCAAGATTGTTTCTCTAACATAGGAAATATTCTTCAATTCTCTTCACTATT